CCCCAGTGAGGCCGGGAGCCTGGAGGAAACGGCACATGCCACGGACGCCCGGGGAAGGGCACCGCAGGTCATGCGTCCTAGTAATTCCCCAGAATTGCCTCCCTCCCTTCAGCGGTTGGCAGTTCAGCAGCTTCCCAGGTCAGGCACCAGCCCTTCAGTGGAGGCTTCTTTCTGCCACGGGCTTTGCAGTCCCCTGCAAAGGCCACACAGATGTGGCCCCCATCCGGTCTCATGCCATCTCACTCACCGGAGTGAGAGCCCAACACGTCCCTGGGGATCACGCACACAGTGCTTTGTGTTTCCCTACGCTGGATTTTGTCTGCTGCTCCACCACGTGTCGGCAGTGCCCACAGCCCCCCACCGCCCCGCCCTCCCTGGGCAGCTCCAGGACAGCAGCTGGCATTGTTCAGCTATTTGTAACCACAATGGGTGGCACCAGTCCCCGCAGAGACACCGTACCACGCTAGTGGGGACTTCTTCGCGTGACAAGAACAATTTAATTCTTGCTCCCTTTCTTTTAGTCAGTTATTTACCCTTGCAGAGACCCCCCCCAACTACCCCCTGGGTGCAAAGATGCTCCCAAAGAGCCTTTGAAAGGGAATTTTCTTAATCACTATCAGCCAGGTTGCCCACAGCATCCTCACCACTGCCACCCCAAAGACCTTCCCACTGCAAACTCACACTGCCTCTTCCTCAGGTACCGCATAACCACAAATTCTGCTCTTTATTATGGTTTCCACTAACTTCCCCGGTTCCACTTTGGGTTTACAGGCCTGTAACTCCGGACCCAGAAAGCATTTAGGAAAGGCTGGTGTCCCACAAGCAGCCTTGCTGCCCGCCCTCCGCTCACATCCCACAGGCACCGGCACAGCCCTGCTCATGGCAAGCCCGGCCTGGCAATGCTGTGCTGCTCCATTCAGCTATTTATTGCCTGGCTCCTGCTACCAGCACTGGCATTTTAGACAGATCCCCCCAGAAGTTTCCCTAGCTTCTCTATTGTGCACATGAATGCAAAAATAAAATAATTTTTGTTTTCTGCAATTATTTTTCTGGGCATCTTTCTGCTCTGGATATTGTAAAAAAGAGGTTATTTTCAGGTTTAAACTCTTCTGAAACTGCCCCTCAGGATCTCCTGGGTCTGCTTCACTTTGTTTTTACAGCAAAATTTCCAAAGTTTATCATCCTTCCTTTGTTCTTTGTGCATGACCTTTCAGGAGATGTTTTCCTCTAACAGCATTCCCCACCCGCTGCTTCATCGCCCTGGCCTGCTTTGGCACACTCTGGGGTTTAACGACACCCACGACATGCACTGAGCCTCCCTGGTGCGTTGGGTACACAGCCCTCCCTTCCCCCGCACAGATGTCATTTTTTTTGGTTACTTTTTCCTTTGATTCGTCTTCTACAATGGAACTTTTTTACTTCTATAAAATCTTTATCTTTTTACTTCTCCTTCTCTAAATTAAACAGAGCAACAGCAGCTTGTTTGGCACTTCGAAAAAAGCCACTTTTTTGGCACCCAGACACCAACCAGCTCCTCCACAGTGGTATTTTGGCCTCGCTACGTCAACCCAGGAGTGGGGGGGCTGGCTGGGAGCCCTCCCCACCATGGAACACCCTATCACACTGATGGAGCCCCAGAGCTGTCATGTCCCTCTGTGAATCACATATGGGGACATCTGGGGGTACAGAGCCTCCGCTGTGCAACTTGTCCCCCACGCCCCTGCTGCTGGCTATGCACCCCACACTGTCTCTGGGTGCCTCTGCCTTCCTCTCTCATCTCGTCTGTGCTCCTCTGCTTGCCCAGACAGGCTGGCTGTTTCTGCTAGGACTGCTAGCATTTTTGGGTCAAGCCTCTGGCTGAGGATGCAGACTGGTCCCTGCTCCTTGGTGGATGCTCGGACCCCACCAGCAGCCTCTGTTCCTCAGCTTGGAGATACTAGGGCTGCTCAAAACAGCTTGCTAAAGCTGTGTTTTAACACAGACAGGGAAACTTGTATCCCCCTTGTCTCATTCTCAGCAAGAGGTTGACTGTTTTAACCAAAACTTTATAAAAAAAGAGCTAAAAAGCATCCTGAGGCAGGCAAACAACTATCACAGAAGATTTCAGTCCTACTAGTTTTGCAAAGTCCCAAGCACGGAGACAAGTGGAGGGAGTGTGGGCAGTGTGGGAGAGCACTGCCCTGGGTGGTATCCCCGCCTCTGGCCAGCCTGGGGAGGCCCTTTTGGCTCATATGGCCCAAAATGGGAGCAGGAGACAAGAGCCCAGTGCTTCCCTTGGCTGCAGCGTGCCCTGGCAGTGCCTCTCGGTGAGCCCCCACCACTGGAGCAGTGACATGCTGCTGCGGAACAGTGCTTGCCAAGCACCCAGGGAGGCTGCTGGAGATGCACCTTGGTGCTGCCTCCTGCCCCCTGTACTCCCCAGGAGCCCGCGGGACGGGCACAAGGCTGGCACAGCTGCCATGGGCTGCCTCCCGCCCTGATTAATGATTTCCAGACCCCACCATCTCCTCCAAGGGCGCCCGACTTCCTCTTGGACCTTGCCCTGCTGCTGGGCACCATTCCTAACCCAGCGACTGCCTGCGCTGCTGCCTGTCACCGCCCACCTCCACGGCGCTTGGCCACACTCCTCCAGCTGAACATCCCTTCCCTCTCCACCCTGCCGGTGCCAGTGGACCCCAAACCTAGCCCATGCGTCACTGCCATCCCCCCACCACACTGGCTGGTGCTGGGATTGCAAAGCACAGGGCAGGTAGCTCCCACATGGACTCGACTGGCAGGTAAGGGGCTGCGGAAGGGGCCGCCCCCCCCCCCCCACAGCCGCTCACCGTTGTGGCTGTTGTGCACGTAGACCACCTGGGCTTGCTCGGTTGGAGTGCGCCCCAGGCAGTAGAGGATCCCCACCAGGTCGGCCATGGAGAAGCCCCTGGCCTGGACGTGGTTGCTGCGGTTGCGGTAGTTTTGGAAGCCTGTCTTGGGGTGCGTCATCACAATCTTGTTCTCGCGCTCGATCTGCAGGTAGCTCACGTCACGCTCCCCCATGATGCAGGAGAGGAAGAAGTCGGAGCGGGACAGGCTCTGCACATTGGCGATCAGGGTGATGTCCAGGATGGCCCCTGGGGTGGGGGAGCACAAGGGCATGTCACAGCTGGACAAGGGCACAGCCATTTGCCCCAGGGCCAGACCCCATCACCCAGATGTCACTCCCTTTCCAGGACGTTTTTGCCACCCCTAGCCCAGGGGGCACAAACAGGGCACAGTTGGGTCAGGCGCAGACCCGTCAGGATGACACAGAGGGCATTTCCACTCTCATTTTGGGGATCCTCACGGGCTCAGTCCCCCGACATGAGCCAAGCATGCAGTCAGATGGGGGTCCCGGGGCCCCTTTCCTCCCGTGAGCTGCCTGCATCCCAGCCCGGTGTTGGGGAGAGGTGGGCAGAGGAGGGCACTGCCGGCCTCTGAGGTCTCCAAATGGCCGATCACAAAGGCATGTTTCCTCCCTCCAAAGCCTGCTCTGATGGCGCCACTGAGCTCCCACAGGCACCTCAGCCCTCCAAGACTCTCTGGGGTAGGGGCTGCTCCCCGGGGCAGAGGGAAAGGGCCCATTTACCTGCCAGCCATGGGAGGAGAAGCAGAAGATAAACCTGGAGTCCCATGTCCTTGGAGCGTGTCCCGAATCCAGCACAGGTCAGAAAATCCCTGGCATGTCCCAGCCGTGGGGGTTGGAGCCGGAGGATGCAACTGCCTAGGGGTTCCACGTGAGCAGTGGCTCAGGACCTCTGCTCCCGCTTCGCAGCCCCCATCTTGCCTTTGCCCCGCTGCTCGGCGTCGGGGGCAGCCCAGACCACCTCCTCTCGCGCATAGCCTGGGCACGGTGAGGAAGATGTCCCCGTCCCCACTTGCTTGGTGGTCACCTGGCTGCTCAGGAGCAGGGCTTGGTGGCGAAGAGGCCACTGAGGTCCCCTGCCCGGTGGCAGCTCTCCTGGGGAGCAGGTGCCCACCCCTCCAGGGCTCGGGCCGCGTGCTCAGGGCTCCCTGAGCAACGCTGAGGCCCCAGCCTGGACGGGAGTTGTCCTGACTCCCCTCCTCGCCCACTGTGCAGAGGGTCTCATACCCCAACCCGCCCAGGCGGCAGCATCTCCATCCCCTCAGCACAGCCGACGGCTGTGGGAAGGGCTCTCGGGAGCAGGGAAAGGAAAGGGGCCAAGGGGCCGTGGCTGGCGGCAGTGGCGGAGCCAAATCCTGTTTCCCATGCGGCGTTTCCTGCTCTCCACCCATTGTTCGGAGATGGCCCTGACTCCAGGAGCCGGCAGGATCTGCCCTGCATAGACGGTCCCCTGGAGAGCGGCACACAGGGAGGCTGAGGCTGTACACACCTCGTGACACCTCCTTCTGCCACCCGGGCACTGAGGCACAGCCCCACCTGGGCTCCGCAGTGTGCCAAGGCCCCGCTCAGGACAGCGGTGGCCTGTGGCGGGGCTGCTCTCTGGGTTGAAGGAGGCTGAGCGGGAGCACAGGCAGAGTGATGAAAAGCCAGCCAGCCCACATGGCAGGGCGGCCGCTGCCGGGGGAGAAAACTCTCCATGTTGCAGTAAACATGTCTGGGAGGAAGTGGAAAGCAGCAGAAAGCCTGGTTTTCCCCGAGCGCTTTCCCATGCACAGTGACAGCATGGGCGCTGGCACGGCACGGCACGGCACAGCACGGCATGGCACGGCACAGCCCCGCTGCCCCCCAGCCCCAGGGGGTCCCACACACAGCCCTCCCGTGAGGCTGCCCTGGCTTCTGGTGGGCTCTGGGCACTTTGCCTGGCAAACAAAAGGCAGTCCCCAGGAAATCACTGTCAGCTTCACCCACCAGACCTTGCACTGCTTCACAAACCGAGCTGTTCCCACGTGAAAGCTGGGGCTGCCGGGGCACGAGCCTCATGTTTTGGTGTGTCCCGAGCCCATGCTGTATCCGGTCAAAAATCTAAAGCACACATGGAGAGGAAGGGGAAATTCATTCATCACTTCCGACTATTTACAGAGTGCTCTGGGGCTGCGCGGTGCCTGCGGCGTGCCGAGGGAGGAATGGCAGTGGGCAGGGGCTCCCCTAGTGCAGCCACCTGGCCACCTCACGACAGGAGCGATGGAGAAGATCTGGAAAAGATGGGACACTGGATGCAGCTGTCCACATTTGCCTGGAAAACTAAGCCCGGTGTTTTGCCATGGTCTGTGCATAGGCAAGGGGCTCTGGTTTTGTGAGACCCCCAGGGCGCTTGAGGCACAACCATAATGTAAACGCTGAGTGTGTGGCCATCTCGCAGTGGGACATGTAGGGGCTGGGCAGCTGGGGCTGGTCCCTCCTGCCATCGGTGACCTCCCGGGGTCTCCTATGTCGCCATTTTCCTGGCCAACCTCAAGCTCATTTGGAAGAGTGTTGGGTCGGGGACTCATCTGCGCACTCGGTACAGCTGCAGGAAGGGAAGCAGGTACATGAACAGATAAATAAACGGCTTCTTCCCCTCAGTCGCTGGCTGTAGAGGTCAGTCTTTCCCAGAACCATAATCGCCATCGTGCAATTACACGTGCTGCACCTGCAGCAGCGACAAGAGAGCACACACATGCTGCGCTCCCCCGGCAGCATGTGCACACCTAGGAGTTCTGGTGCGCTCTGTGAAATGTCCTCTGACACGAGGAATCACTTTGAGGACAGCGTTATTTACGCAGACCAAACACGCTTTCTGGGAAAGCTTTGCAACCGCGGGCCCTGCAGTGTGCTCCTCCAGGGAGCACAGCATGGCTCGTCTTCCAGCCTGAGGGGAACCAGCACATTGTTTTGCTTTTTTGGGGAATGGGAGCCATCTGGGGTCAGCTCTCCACACCAGGTGATGCTCAGAAGATCTCAGAGATCCATCAAGGGATTTGATCCAAGCTGATTTGTCCGCTTGCATTTTTTCTAGGAACATCTAGATACGAGTTGTCTATCTGTGCAGATCCCTTGGTTGGGAGGTAGGGTAGGAAACCTCTCCTGGGAGGTTTGGTGGGGAGACCCAACCAGGACCCTACAATTCCAGTTTAACCCTCTGTAGCCTCAGAGGAGGAACCAGGGATCTGGGTGCAGCTGAGCCCAGCCAAAGCAGCTCACCACACTTGCTCTCCTGTAACATGGAAAGCCCCAGCTGCCCAACCCACAGCCTGCTAAAAGCACCTGAATTTTTGCTGAATCCACAGACCTCAACTTTTTTGCTGAATCACGACAGACTAAAAAAAAAAGAGTGACAAAAATACCCCTTTTTGTTATCTTTTGCACATTCTAATGCACGGCACTGCATGCCAGAAACATAACACACCGATACGCTTCCTGATAGGAAGCGCAAACGCCCTGCGAGTCCCTCGACGGGCTGGGCCACCTCAGCGACAATTTCTAGTCCTGCTTTTCTGGCTGTTTGTTTTGTTTTACGTGCACGAGGCGTCCAGGGGAGGCCCTGCCAGGCTGGGTTAAGGACTGCTGCCGTGAGATGCAAGAGCGGCCCGGGAGCGGGGGGGCCGAGCACCCCCAGCCTTCCCGGCCGCACGGGCAGCAGGCGGCTGCTGGGCTGCGCGTGTGCTTGCCGCACACTCACAGGATCAAGGATGCGCTGCTGGGAAACCCTTTCCCCAAGGAAAGGGTGGGACGTGGGAGGAGCCCCTGGGCAGCCAGGGGAAGCGGGACCGCCCTGTCCCAGACGTCCCCGGCGTGGAAACTGTAGAACCACGGTGCTCTTGTTGGCAGGCAGCTTCCTGCTGCTGAGCAGGAGTGGGAACATGGAACGGGGAGTGGGGAGCAGGGAGCAAGGAAGAGAACTGGGGGCTCTCTCCTGATGCAGAGGCAAAGCTGGGCACGGGGGATGCC